AATTTCTTCTATGTAATAATGACATTAAAATAGCTCGTCAATTTACTGTAGTATTGGTATTGTTGAAGAATGATTTACTTTTCTTTCTTTTTTTTGTAATTTCTCTTTTTAATTATGTTATTGAACTATAACTTGTTGTTGGGTTTTAGCTATAAATTTTAAAAAAAAAAAAAAAAAATTGACATACCCTAGCCGTACCCACACCCTACTTATTTTAAAATTTGCCGCATTGGCGTACCCATATCGTATGTGTAGACGTATCCATACCCGCACCAATGCTTCATAGACCCCTACGCTAGAACTAATTTGGGAAGAGGGAGGTGGTAAAGGAACATCTTTAGGCTTTGCCATCTTTTTCCTATTCTCAGCTTCTTTATCTGCCTTTCGCATTTCAACAAGAAGATTAGGCCTATTCTTCACAAATGCACACACTCTAATTCCATGCCTTGAAAGTAACAACAGATGTGCTTTGACTCTAGAGTATGAACCTTGAAACTCAATATTACAATAATTACACCGAAATTTGGTATTACCACTTCCGCCTTCACCCCTTTTAGCGATTTTCGTAACGTAACCCCAAAGAGGAGCATTTTCATCCCCAGTTTGATCAAATATCAATAGAAGGGGCACTTGTAGTTGAACCTATACTTCCTGATGAACTCATATTCCTATAATATAACTATTAACAAAATAATTTATAAATTCTTTCACTTCATTCGAGTATATAAATTTTTAAATATTTAAATAACAATTTCCTAATTGTGTCTACTATAGTCTACAACAGTAAGAAGAGGGCAAAGTTAAATAATAGAGTGGGTGATGCTACCTTGCCTTTTTTTTTCTTTTTCTTTTTTTGAAGATGATTACAGAGAAGGCTCTAGACTAGCAAGTTGCATGAAATTCCAGTGGTTGTGGGGAAAAAATGTAAAAATTAATATATATATATATATTAGAAAAAAAAATGAAGGAGAGTTGAAGAGGAAGAATAATCGAATCAAACAAAGAGAAAATCAAAGGAGAGAATCGAATCAAAAAAACCAAGGAGAAAAAAAAACAAAAAGAGGGCACATCAATTTGTTTGCAGCAAAGAAAGAAAAAAAATTGAAAAAAAATTGAAAGAAAGAGGAAGAAGAATTGAAGAAAAACAAGGGGGGAAAAAAAAAAGCGACAGACATCTTCGTTTGTTGCGAAAAAAGAGGAAAAAAAAGCTGAAAAAAAAAAATGAAAGAATGAGGAAGAAGAATCAAAGAGAAATTCACCAGAATCTGTTGTTCAAAGGAGAGAATTAGCAACTTCGAAGGAGTTTTTCAATTGCCGATCATTTTTCTCTTGGAGTTGGCTGTGTTTCTTCGAAGAAGATAATCAAATGGAACCAAGTAAACCTAATTTCAATTTGCTTCATGTTTTAATTATTACAAAAGAATCCCAAATCTATTTAATTTTTTAAAATGGACAAAAAAATTGCTCTATTACCCTTAAAATTGCAAAAAATCTCGTTTTTTACCCCGACGTACCCAAAAAACGTACCTATTGTGTATCCATCGCATACTAGGATTATACTGATCATATAAAACGTACCCGTGCGTTTTTGCTGTACTTGGTACACGTGCAGCCGTACCGGTATGAGTAACCACACCCCATAAGTACCCGGTACTTGTACAACAACATTTTTGGAGTACCCGTGCTTCATAGGTGTCAAGCATGCCACGTGGGGTGTCAATTTCTAATTATTATTTTTGGAGGACACATTAGGAACATTTCACGTACAATTGAGTCCTTTCTTTGGACACACCTTGGGAGTCTTATCTTTGGACACACCTTAGGACACCTTTGTGAGTTTTTTTTACAATTTTAAAAAGTTGATTTGGGGTCAAAGTAAAATATAAGGAAAAGGGAGGGGAGGCGAGGGACGTGGGGGAAAAAATACACCCACATAAATTGATGTCTCTTATTTTTTTGTCTCCTAAATTTATATTTATGCACATAGTCAATATGTTTTAAGTCATATTCTTGCCACTAGGGTTGTGTGCAAAACACAACCCAATCTGTTAAAACCACTCGATCTGCACCAATCCGTCGGCTAACCACGGGTTAGTTTAATCCGCAGTTTAAAATTTATAATCCGTCTTCGAAACCGATCCACTATGCTATAGTTAATACATATATATATATATATATATTTATCTCTAATGAAACATCAAAGTAAAAATCAGTGCGAGAAAGATTTAAGATGTAGAATTTGTTGCAAATTAGTGTTATATATATGAAAAATATTATGTAAATTAGTGTTATATATTATACAAATGCTTGATAATTATTTAAGATTATTCTTTAATTAACTAGCAAATTGAAACTGCCCAAACTGTGGTTTGGTTATTTGCCAATCCGTCATTTGTAGATTGGTATATAATTTTACCCTCAAACCGCATCACGCACACCCCTACTTGCCGCGTCCATGTCCAATTTTTTCCCAAAATCCTTGTGTCCTGTGTCTGTGTCTGTGTCTGTGCTTCTTAGACAAGACAGATATAGTAGGTTTTGAGAAACAAAAGCGATATTTGCCCAAGAAAACATGTCCGTACAAGCACTTAGGAAAAACAAAAAAACAGTAGTCAAAATGGTTAAAATGATGCTTGAAAACATCCAAACAGCAATCTAAAGACACAATTCACAATGAAATGATGGAAAACCATGTCATGGGAAGTTCCTAATTCTATTGGAACAACCATTCAACGTCATGAGAAATGAACTGTTCTTTGACAAAAGAAGTGCAGCTATTGTCCAGATAAAAACGAAGAAGAAAAACTAGTTAAATAAAAGTTGGGTTGCTGTGTTTTTCATCTCAATTCTGCTTAATATTATCAGCAAATGAACAGGATTAAGACAAACACAGAAAAATTCAAAGGAAAAAGAAGCACGTAAAACATTTTGAAGCAAGAAATGTGTCAACAACAAAATGAGCAAAAGCCATTAATAAGAAAGAATTATTAAGGCAGAACATAACACAAAAGGCTAGAGAGCATACTTGTCCACGATGGTGAGAAGCTGATTCCGTACATCCTGTGCCCTCCTCAAGGATTGAGACTTAACGGGTGTGTTTGGTTTGTGTTTTGAAACATGTTTTTGAAAGAAAATTTCCAAAAGCATGTTTGGTTACAAATTTTCTCAAAAAAATTCCAAAATTACTTCTCTCTATTACACATCAATCAATCACTTTTTCTCTCTCCTCTCTCCTTCTCAATCACTTTTTCTCTCATACACATCTACTCAATTACAACAAAATATCAAATCATCCCAAATTCCCAAACTCTAAAAATATTTTCAAAATATACAAACAAACTAAAAAAATTTCTAAACTCTCTCCCCCCAAAATTTTTTTTGAAAATTTATCTTAAAACACAAACCAAACACACCCAACAAAGTTCTGAAAACACCATGGACCCGAAAAATTCTTGGCCTTCCAAGCCTCATAAAGAGCAAGCAACGTCAGATGGTCTCCCTCAGGCTGGAAAATTTTGGCTTTCTTTTGATCTGCTTGGGCTTGTTTCTCCCTAGGCCTGTAGAAGATGTTTCCAGGCTGAATCATTAGAGTGATTGTCAAAATCTCATCACTACACACAAGATCTACACTGGCAAGTAGCATCTTAGACAATGGTGATTCCATTGGAAATTCGGCCATTTTCCTAACCAATTTAGTCAGAAGCCCCACCTCATCAAGAGCTCCTAGACTGTACAGTTGTTCCATGGCAGAAATGGGAGCTTGAGGAGATGTTCCATGAAATCAAAAGATAGAAGATCATTTATCCCCATAGCTTTCATAGGAAGTGTGACCAATCCAAGACTTATCCTTTGGATTTCTGGAATTGAGGAGGGTGCCATCTCGTTGTGAAAAGCACTCTCAGTGTGAAGGCAATAACATTTTCCAGGCCCTGTTCTTCCAGCTCGGCCAGCTCGTTGCTTGGCTGACGCTTGTAAAATAGGAGTTATGATCAACGAATCAAGCCCTTGTTTAGATTGTAAACATTTTGCTTTGCGAAATCCGGATCAATCACATTATATATCCCATCAATGGTCAAAGATGCTTCTGCAATATTGGTTGCCAGAACCACTTTCCTCTTTCCTGGAGGGACAGGATCAAAGATTCTGGATTGCATTTCACTTGGAAGAGCACTGTAGACTGGTAAAATAATTAATTCAGGAACATTTTTACCCAACCCTTTCATCCTCTCATAAAGACACTGGCATGCATGTTCAATCTCTTCCTGAGCAGTCAAGAAGAGGAGAACATCACCCTCAGGTTCTGTCAACTGAATCTGTAAAACAGTAATTAGGGATGCATCTAGGTAGTCATTTTCTGGCTGTTTGGTGTAGAGTATCTCAACAGGATAAACAAACAACATTCACGTAGACATGGACATAAGCAGACACCTAATTGCACAAACACATCAAACATGCACAAGTGTGTGTGCATATACACACAAGCAGCGAGTGAGAGAGAGGGAAAGAAATATCACCTGGGTGAAACCCTCCACATAATTATCCTGAGCCAACTGGCACCTTCCATCACAAATGGGCACTTATTCAAGTGGACTCACTGGGCACATAGGGCAGTAGATTGAGGCAGGGTGGCATTTTATTTGCACCAACACACAATGAAACCACTAATCTGGATGGGCAGACTAGAATCATGTCACACACAGCTATTTCAAATGCCCAAAGCAAAGACAAGAAAATTCCAATCAGTCTGATTGTCAAAAGGATTTATCCATCTCCCTTAAACAATTTAACCTAAAGGGAATCTACCTTTCAACAACTTTAGGGCTTCCTCTATGTGTCAGTAGTATGACTTCTTTTTATGTGTCTCACAAAGAAATGTGCCATCACCAATGACATAATAAATACCAATACTAGTTCATCCAACAACACATTTTCTTGCAACATTCATTCTGCTGTCCATTATCCCCATTTGTTACAACATTTTTTGTCCTCTTTCAGTCAAGTATGCCACTGCCAATTTCAATTAAGGAGGTTCACCCTAATTTTGAAACCAGCATTCTTCACTTGAAAAGCATTATCTCAATCATTTTGCTCCTATTGACATCCTTCCTCCTGGCTCCTACCAGCCTCACTCAACTTTGAATTGTTGGTGAGCAAACCACGACGTCCCATAAGAACTAGATCAAGAAGCTTCCTCCTTGCATTATACCCAGGGTTCGGCTCAATCAAGCACCCCCTCTCATAAGCTTCTCTTAAAAAGACTTTCTTCCCCTTGGTTGACAAGTAAAACATCCCAGGGTGAACCAAGAACAAATCCCTTACGTTCAAATCAATGCCAAACCATCTCCTAAAATGGCTGATCCTCTCCGCTTCCACCATCTTCTCCACCATCAAACTCAAGAATTCATGAACAATCCCAACTGCCCGTTTCTCCAATCCCATTTTCCCACTCTTAGATTTCTTCTTCCCGCCCATCTCCTCATACGGCCTAACATACGGCAATCACTGCCATTCCTTCACTTTAGCCCTAAAATTCTTACCCAACCTCATTCCTGGAGGATACCCACGTTCAAAACTAAACCGAATTACAGTCCTATCAACGCTAGAGTCTTCTCTACAACACTCCATGACCCTCCAATTCTCCACCGCAGCAGAGAAATTACAACTAGGAATTGCAGTAACGAGTTTCAATATGAGTATTGGGTTCATACCCATCACAGAGCTCAAAAAGATTAGGGTTTTGGGATATTACCGAGTCCTCGAAGCGGCGCCGCGGTTGAGGTGGAGCTTTTGGGAGAGGCGGTTGGGGAAGTCAACGGAGATTGATGGTGGGTTGTTGGAGGTGGGGTTTGCGAATGAGGTCGTGAATGGAGATGACTTTGAGGAGGTTCTTGTACTCGTCCATGAGTTTCTCGAATGTGGAGGTCTCCGGATCTGGAGGCTACGTACTGGGATGAGGTGGTTTTGGACATTGAAGGAACGTTGGAGGTGGGTTTGAATTTGAATTTCTTCAAGATGTGGGTTGCCATTGATGCACAGTGAGCTTTGGGATCTGTGAAGTGAATGGAAGAGACTAGCTTGTGCACACTGCTCACTGCTGCACCAGTACACATATATATATTTTCACCGTACACATATATATATATATATATATATATATTAGCGGGTGGCACACACGATGCGTGTGTAATTTAAATAAGTAGGAATAAAAAATAATAATAATGAAATTAATATTATAATGTGTCCTTAGCTTAAGTGGTATAAGTTCTCGTACTTAAACCCATGGTCATGGGTTCAAGCCTTGCCCATCTCTTTGTTTAATTTTTTTTCAAAAAATAAAGCGCCTTGCCCATCTCTTTGTTTAAGTTTTTTTCAAAAAATAAAAAATACTCACATGGCATGAAGAGAGTAAAGCTTCAGGACACCAAAGTTCCTGTTCACTTTATAATAGTATAGATAGATATACTAGCAACCGCCCACACGCAATGCGTGTGCAAATTCGTTTAGAATTATAATATGAATTTGATATTATTTTTTCTAGTAATATACATATAAATCATATGAATAATTATGTACAATGTAATATTTGGTATTAAATTTGAAGATATAAAATTAAGCAAACAAATAAACGAATTTTATTGAAAACATAATATTTTTATTTTATTTTTTATTTTTTTAAAGACACACACACAAAATTAACCATCCAAACAAACCAATTTTTTTAAAACATAAATTATAAACACACAAATACAAAATTAAGAACATTGATTTTTAAAAATAAAAAATATATAAAATGTATGTGAGATACATTTCATTTAAATGGTCTAGATCAATCCTATTCAATATCTATGGTTGAGATCTATTTTTTTCCCGCCCAAACTCTCTCTACTCTTTCACTCCCAGTCTGCCCAAACAGACGCCTCTCTTTACACATTTGGCCCTTTCTACACGTTCTCTCTCTACACGTTCGCTATCGCCGCCATTGAAGGGGAAGATTGAACTTGGCTCATCGACACCTACCCTCCTCGCACTCGCACCCGCTGCCGCACCCGCTCCCTTCAAACCCATCGTTGATTGAGTTCCGCTCATCACCGCCATTGAAGATCGACACCTACCCTCCTGGTTGCACCCATCCCTCTTTGCTCGGCTCCCCATCGTTGCTTCAATTCAAACCCATCGTTCTTCGGTTCAACAGAGGTAAGCTCTTCAGTTCCAGAGGCTTCAATTGTTTATGGGTCAATTACATTGGGCTCCATAGCAAAACCCACAATTTTTTGAATCAACTGATCTGAATTAGTTTACAGAGGTAATTCTTTGAATCAACTAATCTGAATCAACTTATCACAATTTTTATTAGTTTTTGGTTGTGGTGAATAATCTTCATCCAAGATTTATAGAGAGTGTGTGCTATATATATATATAAAATCTGCATGTTGGATAGATTGTAAATCTGCATGTTGGATAGATTGTAAAATCTGCATGTTGGATAGATTATAAAATCTTCATCCAAGTTCTGGTTTTTTTCGCTTTTGGGGCTGTTGAAATTGAATTCAAACAAAAAGAAAAAGAAAAAAAAAACAGAAAGAAATTATCATAAGAGGTTTCTTGAGAATACCCTTATTTTTTATTTTGTGTTTATTTAAATTGTTTATTCAATAGATTATTCACATTGTTTATTCAATAAATGATGCAACACTCCAGTAGGTCATATTTGATGACTCCCAGCTGGAAATAAGCAAGCATAAGCATAAGCATATACCATCTAAATCGAATTCAAACATATAATGAGGGTAAATTCATGTCCATTCATATCTCATCAAATAAAATTTCAGGAGCATAGGTTCTGGCGATTTGCGCTTGTTTTGTAGCTGATAAAAGGTTTTTTCGACAGAAACACAAAAAAAGGGTGTTTGTACTTGGTTATGGTTTGGTTTTGCTGCTTCTCTTTGTCCTAGAGTTGTTGAGTTCCGTCGTCGTAGACTCTGGTGCGTATTAAATCGGTTTCCTATCTTGCAATCATATAAGGCCTATCTATATAATGAAAATCATATAAGGCCTCTCTGATTTTAAAATCCCTAGTTCAAAAATCTCTCATCTTTATTGTCGAAGTTCCAATTTAATTTACGTTCCTTGTGTAAATTTTTCTTTTATGTCAACTTTATAAGTTAATGAAGTTCATGTGATTAGAGAACGCCAATGCTAGACAGAAATTTGTTAATGAAGTTCATCAACTTTATAAGTTAATGAAGTTCATGTGATTAGTGGTTTTCCCCTTTTCAATTATGCTAATATCACTTTATATTTGGACAGAAATTTGTTCACATGGTTGGGTTAGGTTACTAGGGCACTCAATCTGTCACACTTCTATGAGTGTAGATTTTTAACGGGTTATTAATCTTTTTTTTTAAAAAAAAAAAGAAAAGATTTTGGGGGTGATTGTAGGGGACAACAATGGTGAATGACAAAGGAAAGGGTACTGTTTTGAGCTCCAATTTAAGTCCCAAACATGATGATGCAGCCGATAATTCTCAAAGTGAGACAACTGTGTCCAGTCCAATGAAGTTGAATGTTAAAGAAACTGGGGTTGTTTCTGAGAGTGAAGATAAGGAGGAAAATACAAGCAAAGGAGTAATGAATGAAGAAAATGCAATGGTAGTTATGAAGAATGGAGAAATTGCAATAGAAGAAGAGCTGAATGAAGAAACTGCAATGGAGGAAGAAGAAAAACATGAAGAAAATGCTATGGAAGAAGACGAAAAAAATGAACCAAATGCATTAGAAGAAGAAGAAGATTATGAAGAAGAAAATGCAACCGAAGAAGAAGGTGAGAAGGAGGAGGAAAAAGAAGAAGAAAATGAGGAAAAAACTATTGAACCAACAAAGACTGAAGAGAAAATAGGAGCAGATTCTAAGGACAAAGAAAAAAGATCAAAAAAACGGGGCAGAAATAAGCAGGTGGCACAAAGGGGTTCTGAGAAAGTGGTCGCTAAATTGGAAGATACCTGGATCATCGAGCCAGAAAAAGGTGTCAAAAAGGGTTGAGAGCATGGGGATGATTTTCATGTGCAGCTCAAAGACAAAACAGGATTGTTACAGTTACAAGGTTCTTGGGCAACCTGCAACCAAGAGAGATGTTGTAAAAAAAGTTTATAAAGGAATGAGGCTCTTTTTGTTTGATTTTGATCTGAGACTGATGTATGGGATCTACAAAGCTGCAGGACCTAGAGGTTATAATATCGAACCCAAGGCTTTCAGTTAGTATTTACTTCTATATTTTGTTTTAATCTTAGTGAATATTTTTATGCAAAACTATTATGGGAAAGAAGTTTGCATGTATGCTTAGGATGTGTGGGCGTGAGGGAATTTTTATTGGAACAAATGTATGTGTTAGCAGCAATAAAATTTGTACTGACAGTTGTAAAAACCAAATTGTCTTGAGATCTAATGCAAAGATGGGTATAGATGATTTACTGTAAATCATCTAAAGTTTGAATAAGGGAGAACAGTTTTTTTTTTTCTTCTTCTTCCATTAATTTATTATTAGGTTGGATGCTCTGTATTACTTTGGACAAATATTTGAACAAAATTCAAATATTGGATGCTCTATATTACTTTGGACAAATATTGGGTTTGCTCACTTTGTATTATTTACTAAAACTGGCTTCTATAGTTGGGTTTTGATTGTTGTGAAATAGGATGATGAGTGACTATAAGGTGAAGAAGTTCTCTATGGATTTTCATGGACCCAAAGACAGTAAATCATCTATACCCATCTCTGATTTTATTTACTTATTTTTTAATAAGGGAGAATGGTTCTTTTTTTATTTTTAATTTTACATTTTGTTTGAATGGCTGAGATTTTTATATTTTTTGAATATAGGAGAACGGTTTTTTTTTTTTTAATTTATTTGCATTGGGCTTTACATGGATTATTCTTTTAGTTATATCACTTGGTTGCGTCATGACTTCCAAAGTTGATAAAAAAAAATATTTTTTCTTTGGTTTCCATGTCAGAGAATTTCCTATTCGATTGGAGAACCCTCATGTTATATCAGCAAATCAGATATGGGCTGGAGTTGTACCAGCTGGTCCATCTAGTTACTCTTTCAACTCTTCATATCGGAGTTGTGATTCCATTGAATACAAGCTGGAGCTTGGTAATGCTATTGGTACGTAATTAGGTACTGATAATGATGGTTTTAGGTGTTGGGTATCACAAGTACTATCAGTGGGTCAATGATTTGCATACCATGCACAATGATAGTTACAGGGGGTGATAAATTCTTTGACCCCCTTGGTTTAGCCAGAATGTGAGCTTTTTTAGATCTGATCATGTTTTCTTGACAGGGGGAAATTTGGGCTTTTCAGTGCACTTGATGAAGATGTCATTAACATTCTTAGCTAGGAAAATTGCAAATGAACCTTTGATTAAATTAGTTTTCTATTTGATATCAGTAGCCTCATTGCCATAATAACTACTTCATAAATTATTTGTTCCTTAAATTTGATGCTGCAGTCAATTTTTCTTATTTATTTATTTTTTTCTTCAACCCGCATGTCTTTCATGGGTCATTATTTTTCTTTCATTTTATTTTATTTCTATAACCCAATTTAAATTTTCACTCATAATTCATGGACTATTTCTTCATCCCTGTTGAAGACATGGTGAAGAAATTGAAAAGAAACAGAGTAAGAAAAGAGATAGTGGTCGGTTTTCTTAATTTTGTTGCACATTCAAATGCTTGGCCACTATCACATCTTTATTTATTTTATGTGCTATTCAAATTGTGTTGATATATTATTTTATTTTATTTTAATAGGAATGCAAAATGTGTTGATATATTATTATTTTTTTCAATAAGAATGCAAAAAAAATGTGAAAGACAGACCCCGCAAAGGACTGATGGCTACTTCTTCCTACCAACAAATTGTCTTTCAACACAATTTTTTTCTTCCTAAAGACAGACCCCACATGAATATATTAAATTTTAAGTTTTTTTTTTTTTGGTTAATTTTTCCTAAATTTTAATGATACCTACAATTATTCAAACAAAACTAGCTTATGTGTGGTGGCAGCATACACTGTTTCTAATATATTCATGTTCCCCATGATTAATTAAATGTTGAGGATGCATTAAATTAATTGACATTATTTACACCGAACATTATAACTACATTTTAATCCCAACATTATTTACACCGAACATTATTTACGCCGTGCCTTCAGGCACGGGCATACGCTAGTATACATATAAATCATATGAATAATTATGTACAATGTAATACTTGGTATTAAATTTGAAGATATAAAATTAAGCAAACAAATAAACGAATTTTATTGAAAACATAATATTTTTATTTTATTTTTTATTTTTTTTAAAGACACACACACAAAATTAACCATCCAAACAAACCAATTTTTTCAAAACATAAATTATAAACACACAAATACAGAATTAAGAACATTGATTTTTAAAAATAAAAAATACATACACACACAAAATATTATTCTTGTTTGTTTGAAAACAGATTATTCTGATCCAGAGGCAGTTTCTTCGGAATCATCCTCGACGACGACGAAGTCGAAGACGTTGACGAAGAGACCGATGTCGAAGCCTTGTGGTTGAAAACAGAGCGAGTCTGATCCGATTCCGTTACCGGAGGCAATGCAGCAAGGATGCCGAAATTCTCCGCACGGTCGACGCCGTGGTGGTGGTGGGAGCGGGGAGAGGAGTAAGTGGAATGCGAGGTGGAGGAATGGTTGTGGTCGGCGAAGTCGCCGGTCCAGAAAACGTCATCTTCGTTGAGGAGGAGGAAGTGGTTCTCTGGATGCGGAATCTGGCGGTGGCGCCACTGCTCGGGTCCATGAAAAAGATTTTGCTCGTCTTCGTTGAGGAGGAGGAAGTGGTTCTTTGGATGTGGAATCTAGCGGCGACGCCACTGCTCGGGTCCATGAAAAAGATTTTGCTCTCACCAAAAGATTAGAGAGCCCATGAAAGAGAGGGATGGAGAGACAGCAACACGTGCTTAAATTGAAAGAGAGAGATTGGAAATCCATTGAAAAGTTTGTGCAAAGGGATAAAGCAAAGACATTGGAAATCTGGTAGACAAATTGATTGAATTGAATTCACCAATGCGGAATCGTTGATAGTGAGATTGAAAATCTGTTGAAAAGTTTGTGCAAAGGGATGAAGCAAAGAGATTGGAAATTCGTTGAAAAGTTTGTGCAAAGGGATGAAGCGAAAAGTGAGAGAACAAACGTGAGGGATGAAGTAAAAAATATATAATTGGCAGTTAAAGTGAGGGCAGTTGAGACGTGCAAGTGTAGGAACAAAACGTGTAGGGCAATTGAGACGTGCAAGTGTATTTATTTATTTTCAATATATATAACTTACAGGTGGCAAAAGCTTCGTGACACCAAAATCAATGTTCCCTTTTAATAATAGAATAGATTAATAACTTTTGGTGTCCTCCTTGTCTATCTATTATATGTTCTATTATTTTTATTTGGATTTCTTATTTGGGTTTTTCTTTATTCTTAAATTTGTGTGTGTGTGTGTGTGTGTGTTTTTGTGGAAATATATATAGATATATATGTATATATATAAAAATTGAGAGAAAGAATTGGACAAAACAATGAAGAATTGATTCATCACAATTGATATGTCATAATTAAAAAAAATAAAAAAAAAAGAAAATTTGAGAGAGAAACTTTGGGCGAAAATAAAGCATACTGAACTCTATATGGGGGGGGGGGAACTCTACAATAATCCATCAATAAGTCTAGAATACTTACAGTAAAAGTAGATAAGTGTAGATAAAGAATGACCTGAAAAGTTGTTTATTCTGAAAAACACAAACTCATAAAGCAACCTGCAAAAAAATTTACATTATTACACGAAAAGATACAACGCAAAATAATGTTTGATTTAGTTGCAATATTTAGTATTACAGAAAGTATAATTAACATTATTACAAAAAAAAAAAAATGAAAATACATATCTGTAGGACCCTAAATTATGGGAAAAAGCCCCTAAAAGCCCAAAAGTTTTTAAAAATTGAATTATGGGAGGTTGCTACTAAAAAAAACACATAAGAGAAACAAAAAATAACACAACATGGGCAAAGAGGTTGGTTTACTTAAATTAGAATTTTACGTTGTTAAAATGAGCCACAATTGTACACATGCGTACTTTGACTAATAGAGTACAATAATAATTTTGGCTTTCTAATTGGCTTATTATATATAAAGGCACAAAATGTAAATATTATTAAAGTTTTTTATAAATGAAACTAAAAAATTTAAAAATTACATTTTGACATAGATTAACATAGTCCAAATCAAATGGAAAAAAAATCTCAAACTTTTTAAGTCTAAGTCTAAACAATTACACACATTTTATGCTTCATAGTTTTTTAAATATATATATATATATATATAAATGAATATAAACTTACAATATAAGTGTTTTTTTTTTTTTCAAAAGGAACTTGATATAACATAATGGATCTTTTTATTTTCTATGAAAAGTATAATTAACACATTTTATGCTTCACAGTTTTTTAAATATATATATATATATATATAAATGAATATAAACTTACAATATAAGTGTTTTTTTTTTTTTAAAAGGAACTTGATATAACATAATGGATCTTTTTATTTTCTATGAAAAGTATAATTAACACATTTTATGCTTCACAGTTTTTTAAATATATATATATATATATATAAATGAATATAAACTTACAATATAAGTGTTTTTTTTTTTTTAAAAGGAACTTGATATAACATAATGGATCTTTTTATTTTCTATGAAAAGTATAATTAACACATTTTATGCTTCACAGTTTTTTAAATATATATATATAAGAATGAATATAAACTTACAATATAAGTTTTTTCAGAAGGAACTTGATATAACATGATGGATCTTTTTATTTTCTATGAAAAGTATAATTAACAGTAATACACCAAAAAATACAAATTGAAGACTGAAAACACTTACAATTATGTAAAATTTAAGAATACTGAAGAACACTACATTTTTTACACACACATTCTTTACACTACATTTTTTTTACACAACATTCTTTTAATACACCCACAATTACACATGCGTATTTTTTGGGATTGAGACAAAATAAAACACAAAAACAAAAGCATCAAGGTTTAAAAGAGAACATTGAACATCAAATTCTGAAGTGTCGATAAGCATTTTGCTTACGGTCAAGAATAATGAAAACATGATAGAACATACAAAGAAGAATTCAATTACCAACTTTTTTCCTTAATGAGAACAGTCATTTGAAACCTTGTTTAAGTAAGCAATTGGAGTACAAACAATATCAAAATAAAAAAAAAATAAAAAAAAATTATTTCAAACATTAAGACCAATCCGAACATGAAAAAGGGATAATTAA